CATAAAGCAGGGTATGCTTTAGGGCGGGGCTACCTTGTGATTGACAGCTCATTCTCAGTGAGTCCGTCTAGCTCAACCAAACTCAGATCAAACTGTCAAACAGTGCTGATCAGATATGGATCCAGATTCTGTTGTTGACTATTTCTCTCCTCAGATCTGTTCACAAACACATTTTACTGTTTATCTGGAGAACCAGATCCTGTGTGAGCAGGCGAGCCGCCATTGTTGTACCTGAGCAGCCAATCACCTCGCAGTACATCACCTCCACTGGCTCCAACAAGCTGTCATGGTGACGACCATAACACCAAACTGGAGGCTTCAAAATTGGTTCTTCACAAACTGATGGGTTACGCCACGATAGGGAACAATTGGTTCAGTTGGTCTCGCGTTGTCATGGTGATCAATGAAAACTGACGCATCGTTTTGTGTTTTTAAGAAAAGTCTCTGATGCCGAACGTTCGTAAAGTCTCTTTCTCCATAAAAACAGGTTTTACAGGTCAAATGAAACCGTTTCTCTGGAAGACATTTTGAGCATAAATCGGACTGTGAGGCTTTCAGCGAGTAAATTCCAGTCGGTGTTCCCACAGGTACACCGAACACAAACACACACACACACACACACACACACACACACACACACACACACACACACATTTCACACATTACACACAAGTGTTTGATTAATGCACAACTGGGGCCTCTTGAAGCTGTATACAGCCTGGTGAAAGAGCTCTTTATTGCTTCATATGAAGGCGTTTTCTCTCCCACTCTAACACACACACACTCTCACAAACTCACAAACACACACACAAAACACTCTCACAACACACACACACACACACACAAACACTCTCACAAACACACACACACACACACACACACACACACACACACACACACACATAAACACTCTCACAAACACACACACACACACACACACACACAAACACACACACACACACACACACACTCTAAAACACACACACACAAACACACACACACAAACACACACACTCTAAAACACACTCTCACAAACACTCACACAAACACACACACACACACACACACACACACTCACACACACACTCCTATAGCTGTTAATTATGAAGCGTCTTGTTAATTAAGGTCCAGAGGAGATCACAGCCGCTCTCCTGCAGCGTTAGATGTTGTTTGAATGTGAAAGCTGCAGTTTGTACTATTTATATTTAATATAATATTTTTATATAACACAAAACATTGTATTTAAACCAAATCTGTGTTCCTCCACTTTTAACTAACCTTCATATACAATTAAAATAAACACATTTTCTGTTTCATTTGATCAAATCAACAAAGTTTCATGAGGAAGGTGTGTAGGAGTGGGAGGAGGAACCAAAAGTAGAAAAGATAAATTCATTGGCATCATTACGGTATCAGACCTTCATCTGTAGCTTGTGGTGTCTGTGATGAAGACTCTTGTTCCTTTACTTCCCAGTGGTACACCTCATTTCTCCGACAGTCTGCAGCATCACGTTTATATATATTTATATATATATAAATATATTTATTAAGGTGATGCTGAGTAGCTTCTCTTTATATCTGCTAACGGGTTCTTTTATTGATCAATGGATGGATAAATGGATCATGAGGTTCTCCTTCTTTCTCAGTCTCATACAGTTCTGTCTGTGTTATGTATTTTTTATTATTTTTAACAATCATACAATCGGCTCTTTTCTGACAGTCTTATGGTTCTGTGGTTGTTTTAATGTTTCTCCAGCAGGATGAGAGTGAAAGCTTCGTGGATGTAGAGTTTGTAGATCTTAAAGGAAGCTTTAACGACCCCTTGTTTGGGTGTCGACCCCCATGTTGGGAACCACTACTCGAATCATCAGAGCATCAGGTCTCTCTCTCTCTCTCTCTCTCTCTCTCTCTCTGTCTCTCTCTCTCTCTCTGTCTCTGTCTCTGTCTCTGTCTCTCTCTCTCCCCCCCCTCTTTTAAATGTCTCTCGCCCCGGGCGCCTGCGGGGAACGGGCTCTCTTGTCTCTCTCCTCTGTCGCCTTTATCTGGGAGCGGCGGGGGGTCTGAAGGCAGCGTACACAGCTTCAATAAGAACCTGCTGAGGAGGAGAGAGGCTGAGAGCAAACTGACTCACACAGCAACACAGTGTGTGTGTGTGTGAGAGGATAAAGAATGATGTCTTTGTAGGTAAGCGGTGGTATTTTAGCTGTGGCCGGTCTCCATGGAATGCAGAGGCTTCTGGGAAAAAACGCAGAAGGATCTGTGAAGGAGAGAGAGAGAGAGAGACAGAGAGAGAGAGAGAGAGAGAGAGAGAGTTTGTTTTATTCTGTCAGCGAATGAAAGAGTCACTGGAGGACGTTTTTACACTTTATTCTGCTTTATTTAGGAGTTAATTATTATGTATGTGATGGTTAACAGCGCCTCCAGTGGCCGTTCAGTGAACTGCAGTCAGCGTCCAACAGAGACAAACACTGAACGCTGTAAAATAACTGACAGTCATATTTAGAATTATGTTACTATCTGCAATGTTCCTATGTTTTATTTGGACCATTAGCTCCATGCTACTAACTAGCACGCCATTTACAAATCACCCATCAGCCAACACCACGAAGCAACCAACGCCAGAACCCAGTCAGCTTAGCATTACAGTACAGTTGCCGTTTGGCTCCGTGATCACCGCGTCTTCAGAGCCCATCGAGAGCGTCTTCGTGCCGCGTGGTTTACTTACTATAAAAACAGTGTTTCTCTGCTTAAAATCTCCTCTGAGTGATTTGACTTCTGGTCTGGTGCCACATTGCTGATGTAGCGGCGTCTGCATGCTGTATTTTATTTTGAAAATCAACCGGATTCTCTATGTTCCTGTGTCTGTGATCAGCTCTGTGCTGACTGAAGTGAGTGGGTCGCGGCTTCTGCCAAAACAACAGACCAGCCGTGTACAGGGAGCAGAGCGGATGTGGCGGGTGGAATTCGGGGGTCTTAAATGAAAAAGAGCATTAATTGATGAAGAAATTGGCAACAATTCTGATGCAAAAATGTCAAGAACATTGCTGGTTTTATTGATATTATAGGATAGTAGTACATATAACTTTTTTAAGGCAGCATGATGTGGATGATTTAATATCCGATAGTTACCTTATTTAGACAAAATGCATTAATTAGTTATTAATAAAGAGAAACAATAATGTTCAGATTTGTAAACTTTGGTCAGCTAACCGACCAGATTTCGGGGAAACATCTGATGTAGCGCCCCCCTCAGGACACACCACAGTGCTGGTAGAGTAGATAAACCCTCTGTGTGTTCACTCTGTCCCGTGTTCAATCCACTCTCTCTGTCTCTCTCTGTCTCTCTCTGTCTCTGTCTCTCTCTGTCTCTGTCTGTCTATGTCTCTGTCTCTGTTCTCTCTGTCTCTCTCTGTCTCTGTCTCTCTCTGTCTATGTCTCTGTCTCTCTCTGTCTCTGTCTCTCTCTGTCTCTCTCTGTCTCTGTATGTCTCTCTCTGTCTCTGTCTCTGGAGGTTTTTATTCCTGGTGTCCTCTGTACTTTTACTCTCACAGCGATCGCAGGAGAGCTGGAAATATTAACTGTGACTCTCTCACACACACATTCCTCTAAGCTGATATTACAGATGAGATAATGAAAGGCTGTCTGAGGAGCAGGTGGCAGGAGCTGATATTACTGCCTTCCCACAGGCACTCTGAGTGTGTGTGTGTGTGTGTGTGTGTGTGAATAAACACACACACTCATAAACACACTCTTTATCCCTGGAAAAGACAGATATAGGGCGATCTGTGGGATTAAAATACCCATCGAGGTCATGTGGCTTTGCAGCTGAAACACACACACACACACACACACACACACACACACACACACACACACACACACACATATCACCACCTGACTCTGGGAGGCCAAGGCCACAGCTGTCTGTGTGTCAGGGGTCAAAGGTCACCATTTCCTTTCACTCGTCTTAACTTTTTCCTCTCTACGTCTCTTCACCTGTTTTTGTTCCTAGAAAGAGAAAGTGAGGTTGACGACTCACCTGCACGAGGACGTCCGATACTGTAGGCTTCACTGTAGATTATTCTATTAAATATAATCACAAGTGCTATATGTATATGTAATATTATTAAATAAAGGTAAAATGTGTGACACACTGCATTATAATGAAGTGTGGATATTGCACTTGGACATACTGGGAGTTAGAATATTTAGATTCATTGTGCAGCTACCGATTGCAGCTTCCCCGAGGGTTCATATAAAGCTATTTATTCATTGTTAATGTAGAAGTACTGATGTTCTTAGTGATAGACTGATTGATCGGGCTGATTATTTTGGGACATAATTGACATCGGCATGTGGCTGATTAACAGAAAAAACCTTCAGACATGAGATGAGTCTGTGTGCAACGATGTTAATGCTCCTGCCTGTACTGTAACTCTCATACATCCTGCTGTACAACCTGATCGTCCTGTAAAATAGAATTACACACGGCTTATGTTTGTTTTGATATCGGCATTATATATCAGCCACTGGCATTGAAAAACCGATATCGGCCCACCACTAGATGTTTTCGTCCTCGAGCAGGTGGAGCTGCATTCCTAACTTTCATCTTGCGCTGTTATTGTGAAGAAGAGGGACGACACTCTCTCGTTCAGTCCAACAGAAGATAAAAGGGCTCACACACACACATACAGATATTCTGCATGTACTTGCATGTAGGTAGTTTGAATGTTGTCTTCGGGCTGAGAACAACTGTAAATCATCCAACTTTTGAAAATAGCATCTGATCATTTTGGCACTTTTTGCAGTTAAGGTATGTGATCACAGGTTTGATCGACATTTTATAATAGTTTGTGGAAAGAAAGGTGTGTGTGTGTGTGTGTGTGTGTGTGTGTGTGTGTGTGTGTGTGTGTGTGTTTGTGAGTGTCACCTCGTTTGAGTGTGTGATTACAGGATGTCACTGTTGTGCTTTTATACTAATTCAGTCTCCTCCCTCACAGGACGTCTACCATTCCCACCGGCCTAAAGAGAAACTGGACAGCAACAATAATGAGAACTCTGTCCCTAAAGACTTTGAGACCATCGACAGCAACAGCAACCTGGGCGCTCGCTCTCAACGCCAACGGGTGCCGGTCGCAAACGCCAAACGCAAGCTGGATAAGGTCCAAGCACAGCTGGGAAAATCTGCCAACGAGGTTCTCAAGCACCCTCCCGTCCAACCCCGAGGGATGGGCCACGGTCACAACCACACCCACATCCGTAAACCCCACCCGCAGGTGCCAACTGTCTCAGCACCGGTCCAGGGGTCCAAACAGGATCTGTCGATCTACCAGGTGAAGAAGTCGTCCACTCAGCTGCCGCCCGGTCTGGAGCCGAGGAAGGAGCAGCCGCAGTGCGAGATCAGCGGGAAGGAAGCCATTTCTGCTCTGTCCAGGGCCAAGAGCCGCGAGTGCCGGCAGCAGATAGTGGAGGTCTACTGCAAGCACAAAGACAGGACGCTGATGCCGGAGAAAGTGCCTCGGTACTGCCCAATAGAAGGTGAGTCCAGCAGACTGAGACTGAACAGTTCACAGACGATCAATTAATGATCAACCGATTGATCGTCTGTGAACGGAATCGTCCATATATGTACAGTAAAACTTCCATTAACAGCTTTTATTTGGTTCATTCACTGAACTCAACCTCCCTTTATTTAATTCCTTTAATTCCTTTTGCACAAAACTCTTGCTCAGCAATCAAATTGTTTGTTTAAACCAATCTGTCTATATATATATATATATATATATATATATATATATATATACATATATATAAAAGGGAAAGCATTATAGGTTAAAGGTTTGGTATGTTAGCTGAAGAAACAACATTGCGGACTCCATGGGAGGTGCCCCATTCTCAGGTAATGAAAACATACTGATTAAATTCCTCCCAATAGATCCTAAATGTTACACTGGACTTTGAAATCATGCCTTTTTTTGAGAGACTGAATTTGCAGCGAGTGAAAGCAACCTGTACTTACGGGTGTAATCCAGGACATGAGCACAGAATTGTTGTACATAGTTAGTTTAGATGTATTAACCTATGATTTAAGGACTGATTTATCCCCTCATGTTAACACAGCCAGTTATTGAGCGACAAATGAGAGGGTGACAGACAGAAAGCGAAGGAACACGACGAACTGCTTTGAAGTGGCTGGTTGCAAAAAGTCAAACAAGGTTTCTTTTTTGCTTTCTTCCAAATTTACTCTTTGAGAAACATTTTTAACCCGGCACGTGCCAGCGCCACGGAGAGGCATCCAGTTAGTCGCCGGCTCTATTTTCAGAGAGCATGAATGGACACGGCGAGGCTGCTCACCACGAGGATGATGCTCTCCCAGCAAAATTACACCCTAATTAAACAAGCAGTTTGTAGTCTTATTTTTGGAATGGCTGACTAATGATTTACTTGTAGTCGTGCTCTTGGAACCACCCTGGGCCGTTTGAGGTTTAATTTATATGATTATAGGTCGCTTTGATGATACACTAGTCATTATATCCGCAGACTGAAGCCGGGCTGGAGCAGCAGCGACACATGATTCGCTCTGAGCTGACGGCGGCGTTTGACTGACGTGTGCTCGGGAGAATAAGTTGGAACAGAGTTTGGTGTTTCTTCACCCCCCCCCCAAGCCGTGCACGACATTGCTCCCTCCTGCTGCCTCCCTCCGTCTGCACAGCAGTGCTCGACTGAGCCGCCTGATTACAGTCATTTCTCCTCAAACTCCAATCCCAGCATGCCCCACACCCCGGGAAGGTCACTAATTAGGCAGAGCAGGCCTCAACCCGCGCCATCTTTAGGGTGAGCGTGATGATGGAGAAGCATTAGGGCTGTCACAGGGTTTGTATATACAGGAGGCAGATTTAGCTCAACCGGCCACAGACGAGGAACATTTCCAGGAAAAGGCGGAAGTTGAAGATGGGGCACCCGAGTGGAGAGCAGGGTTGGCAGTGACGTTGTCTTACAACCGGCCTCGTTAGTAGAGTTTGTCATGTGACCATTCTCTCTTCAGATGTGTGATTGCATTGTTTCAGTGAGTCCTCGCTGCAGCTGCCCAGTGTTTGAATCCGACCTGTAGACCTCTCTCTCTATATATATAAGTGTTCCTATCATATCAGATAAATAAAAACAGTACAAACTGAAAACAGATAATGTTACTGAAAGTGAGTTATTTAATTAATACTCTGTTTACTAATCAGCTCATTGTTTCATGACTGCAGGCACTTGCTGTCAGAATTCAGCTGCAGAAACAAATGAGTTTTCAGTCTGTATTCACCAGCTGAGCTCTGACATGAACTGCATATCCAACAGCACATGAATGCATCATTGAAAGCATGGTGTCTGAATCCCGTTCTCTGTCCAGGTAAGGCCAATGTGAACGTGCAGTGGGACGAGGACCCCTCCGACGCTGCCCGGCTCGTGCCCGTACGGATCGCCTTCGTCCTGGTCGTCCACGGACGAGCCTCGCGCCAGTTCCAGCGTCTCTTCAAAGCCATCTACCACACCTCGCACTACTACTACATCCACGTAGACCAGGTGAGACGTTCAAACAACTTCTTCTAAGGTGTAAACACAAATTAGGACACAGAGCACAGGAAGATGACACACATTCCTGTTTTCTTTCCTCCTCAGAGGTCCAACTACCTCCACAGAGAGGTCTTGTCTCTGGCCGCCCTGTATCCCAACATCAGGGTGACTCCCTGGAGGATGTCCACCATCTGGGGCGGGGCCAGCCTGCTGACTATGTACCTACGCAGCATGGAGGACCTTCTCAAAATGGCTGACTGGTCTTGGGACTTCTTCATCAACCTCAGCGCTGCAGACTACCCCATCAGGTCAGAGACTCGTATATTTCATTTTACTCTTTTATTGCAGTTTTACGTTGTAGTATTATTTTGATTATGGAAATATAATTTAATATAGTTAAATGATTTGCATGCAGACATTTTAACTGCATTGTATAGCGCTGTGGGTGGGTGGAGCCACAGGGAAGGTGTGTGTACGGGGTGTGTGGCTCTCAGTGTGTGTGTGTGTGTGTGTGTGTGTGTGTGTGTGTGTGTGTGCAGGCGGGGGAGCAAACAGCTTTTTGACCGCAGTGAAAACGTTTGTTTGAAAGGTTGAACGGCGATAAATATGGTCTGCAGCAGAGAGTTTGTTTGACAGAAATATGCTTTGAATTTTGAAATGATTTCAACCTTTTTCTTTCAATGATTTTAATGTTTGGAGTTTGAAATGCTCTGAAGTTATTGGAATTGTTTGGATCACTGGGAAATAATCCTCCACTGGGATCTAATTCTACAGAGTAAATACCTTTTTAGGGATTTTAATGTGGAAATTATACTTTTATTGCAGAAAAACATATCAGACACACATCATTGTTCCAGGTAGAGTATTTGTATATGTGTTAATAAATGTCTGGAGGGATCTTTAGATGAAAAGAGAAATGTTCTCACTGGAATGAATCTATCTGTAAAGGTTTTGCAGAAGGCAGCAGGAGATTTACCCATCAGGTTCCTACCCAACACGCAGCGCATTGATCCGTTAAAGCACTGTGGCAGCTAATGACCACGAGCCTCGCCGCCCTGTGGGCCTTGTTTGGTTTGTTTAAGGTCTTATGGATCAGGTTACGTGACCAATAGACCTCAAGTGCATCGACTCCTGAATGGATCGGGATTCTATAGCTTTGAAGCTGAGCCCCGTAATGGCCGTCTTGCTGCTCAGGGATTTGAGGGGATCTGTATTGTTGAGGAAAGAGCTCGGCTGTGATCAGTGGAGATATTGACCCGTGATTCACTCACTGTAGCTCCAGCAGTGAAGAAGAGAGGTGGTTTATGGAGAATATGTTCTCATCTGTGTGTTTTAACGCTCCATTGGCCTCATTAATAAGCTTATTTGTGCCTTTCTGGAGCATCATTCTACGGGTTTTCCACCACTGTTGAGCCATATTAGCTCACATCATCAATCATTCTGTCTATAGAATTTCATATATATATATATATTAGTTTATTGTGATATAACGAAAGAAAAGAATCCTCATATTGGATGTAAGTGATTTAAATAACACGACAAATGAGTCAGTTCATTGACTAATCATTTAAACTCTGGAGATGTGGTTACACCCCAGAGTTTAAACAAATCCTCACTTTAACCTAATTATCTAAACCAGTTATTTGGGAGTAAAACAAACTCAACCAAACCTTTTTTATTCTTAATTTAAATTCATTCTCTGCCTTTGACCCATAAGTACTCAGAGCAGCCGGCAGAGACTGACTCCAGATCTGAGCTGGAGATCCAACCTAACGTACATGTTTTGATGGTGTAGGAAACTCACAGAAACACACGAAAGCTGGGAATCAAACCCAGAACCTTCTTGCTCTGAGGCGAGAGTGCTAACCACTGATCCACCGTGCCGCCTGTAAAGTTAAGATAAATAAAAAGCCAGTGCCAAACGCTGACAGTAAACTTCCTTTATGTAAAGTGACACACATGTGCTCCTCGTTGTGACAGAAACACACACACAGACACACACACACACACACACACACACACACACACACACACACACACACACTGATCCATTATTCTCTTCTGTCCTCTCACTGTTTGAAAACGCTTCCAGCTAAAATCCATAGCACAGCCATCAATAGCTGTGACATCATTAAGGCACATGGAGTGAGTCAATGGAGCTGTGTGTGTGTGTGTGTGTGTGTGTGTGTGTGTGTGTGTGTGTGCTGTATGTTTCTCTCTAACCGTAAAGACAAGGTCACATAAAGTTTTTAAAGTTTGAAAAAGAGTATCAGTTTGGTTCTGAGGTTCAGAGGGTTTGGACCTAACCCTGGAGCGTTATTAGGCCTCATTGTGTGGTTGGTACCAATGGATGCTTTAGGTCATGTTGCTTCATTTGATACCAGGATCTACACTCTAGCTTTAAACCTGAGTCAGCTACCGGCTCTGAAAGATAGAGGGAGTGAGTAAGGTTAACACCCCCCCTCTGGAAACGCCCCTGTCTGTACTAAAACTGAAGTATTAAAACACATGTTGAGGTTTTACGGCTGGAAGCAGTTACTTAGATGACAAGACTGCAGGAAGTCACTGCACCCGGTCAGGAAATAGTCCGACCCATAACCTCCCATCAGATTAAACAGATACAACATGTTAATTAGTGATCTTAGTGCTGCTGGTAGGTGGATGTGTACACTCTGGACAGAGCCTGTTTCTGTTTCCACCTGCAGCTTCATACATAGCATGAGTAGCGTATTTGTCCTTGTTTGTCTTTGATATACGACCAGTTGAAGATAAAATAGCCGGATTTAAATGTGTGTGTAAGTTACTGATGAACACAAACATGCCCACAAACACACACATGCATGCCTGCGGTTCGTCCTAACGACTGTAATCACAGCGACCCGTCTGGCTGCTGTCTGTCTGTCTGTCTGCTCACGGGGGGGACGACACCAGGCCCGAGTCGCGAGCTTGCGGCTCGCACTACATGCAGGCAGCCTCCTCCTCGGGGCCACACACTGGAGCCGAGCTGTTGTCTCTCAGCTGGAAGAGGAAGCTAAATAAACCTGGTCCAGCTGTCCCAAACAGAGATACATGGAGAGACTTTAATTCCCCTAAATGGAAGATTGTTTTGCATTGTTTAAAAGAAAGAGAGCCATCATTCAAATATTTAATTATATCCTGCTGAGACATGGATCCATTAAAGGGAAAATGCCTTAAACTCTGTTTAAAAACAACAACCCGGCTTTGGGGGAATGTGCTTTGCGTGAGCCTATTTTATGTGTTTTTCTTCCTCTTTCAGACAAACACAGATGACGACACGTTAAGATGTTTGCAGAAGAGTTTAAAAGCACAAAATGTTTCAGCAGTTTATATTTTAAAAACAAAGGAAATATGAGGTTTGCTGAGAATGGATTTCTTAAAGATCCCCTGCAGACCATTGACAGTGTATATAATGGACAGAGCTTCCGGGTGTGTGAAGTGAAACCAACGCAGAAGTTTAAATATAGTATAAACATCCATTCTTTAAAATGGCCAGCAGGGGGCGGCTCCATGGGTTGCAAAAACATCTATCTATTGAGTCTTATGGAGAAATGAGTTGACTTTTCAGTTGATTTATGAGCTCAGTAAACAGTTTCCTGATGAGTTTCTGGTCTCAGTCTCTAGTTTCAGTCTTCTTCCATACAGCATGATGTTTATTCAGTAACTGATGGTCCCATTTGGTCCCCTCTCCGCTGGCTCTGAAAAAGCGCCATTGCGACGACCATAACGCCAGACACCTCAAAACGGGACTCCACGAACCGTTTGCATTATTATGCGTCAAACAAAGTTGATTTTTTAACTAGAATTCTGTTTTTTTTTAATTGTATATGAAGTGGTTGTTAGAATTAATAGGAAACAACTAGAAAATGTCCAACAATGTGAACCTCATGGTGGCGCTAGAGGAGAAATCAGGGCCTCACCAAAGTCCTCTGGGAACCACGAATGTCTGCATACAATTTTATGCCAATCCATCTCATAGTTGTTGACTGAAACAACAATACATCCACCTGTAGACGACGCTGGAGGCGGGTTTCTGTGTCAGATCTGACTGTCTGAGTAGATGATTGACAGCTGCTGTCTCCCTACAGGACCAACGAGCAGCTGGTGGCTTTCTTGTCCAAGTACCGCAACATGAACTTCATCAAATCTCACGGCAGAGACAACGCACGGTAAGAGAGAGAGAGTCTCAGTCTGTGTCTCTCTGTGTATAATATATACGATGAATAATCCTCTGCTGTTACATTTAGTGGGTTGTAACCTGAAGCTTTTTTTCGTATTAATTTTGATTGTGCTGTAAAATGTGTGGACACCACTATTTAAACTCACCTGAAGAGCAGATCTTCAGAGCTATGATTCACCAGGTACTAAGGGGGGTCAGTAAAATATCATAAAATATCGTATCGCAGTTATTTTGTTTTGTTCTGTTGTATCGATTCTCAAAGACATTCAGTACTTGTGTTTAACCCTCCGACTGTTAGATATCAGTGTTTAAACGCACAGATTTTATGCACATGATGGTGTGTTTAAAATTTAAAAATATATCCAATCGTTACCACTTTCTTGTGATGCATATCGATACACAGCCTCACCAGGTAAAGTCTTTTATGCCATTTATAATTCATTTATAATTTGGGGCACGGCGACACTAGAAATAGGACAGTGCCGTGAAACGCTGCAGTGCGTCCACGCCGTTATACATAGAAAGTAAAAGGTCTGCTTTGATGCATGCTGTTCGCCGCCGGCGTGTTTTAGCCTTTAGGATGAGCTTTTTTTAGGCAACATTCAGACTGTCGAACTGACCCAAATGTGACTCAGATCTGATTTGACAGGGTGAACAGCACAAATCACATCTGACATTTTAAATTTTGAAGGATTAGTCAATTAATCAATTAGTCAAACAACCTTTTTGATAGAAGATATTTCCGGGTTAGTCCAGGTGTCTCAGATGATTTTATCAACCTGAGTCTGGTTTTAAACAACAGTCTCTCTCTGCTGTGTAACAGTGTGTCGTGTCCTCTCAGTTTCATCCGTAAGCAGGGTCTGGACCGTCTCTTCTACGAGTGCGACACCCACATGTGGCGTCTCGGGGACCGCAAGATCCCGGAGGGCGTTGCGGTGGACGGAGGCTCCGATTGGTTCCTGGTCAACCGGCCCTTCGTGGACTATGTGGTCAACTCCCGAGACGAGCTGGTCAGCAGCATGAAGCGCTTCTACGCCTACACACTGCTGCCTGCTGAGGTAACGCACACAAGCACTGAAGTAACCCTTCAGACTCTGTGTACAGATACAGAGTCTGACCCCCAGAGGAGAGCAAGTTATCTATCTGTGCTCTGTGTCTGACTGCTGCTGGTCAGACAAACAATAGTTTCAGTATTCAGCATCCCTTCTAACATCAGTGTAGTTATAGATTTATCTGCCGTTGCCACAGGGGAACCAGTCGAGGATACTTTCACAAACTGCAGTTTAAAGCAGTAAAAGCTCACATATGTGTCAGAAGCATTTACACTTTTTAACATTTGGCTAAAAAATGTGTCTCAGCAATCAGATTTCAGCCTCTTGGATACATTTGCACTTCGGATTTGAAGACCTATTTTTTTATTTTATAGGTGAAACAGTATTGTTTTATTTAAGCAGGAAATAACCTATTGAAAAACCTAAATATTACCTTAAAACAACCTCAGGAAGTGTCTATAAACCATAAAGAATATCTCAAACTAATCTAAAACAAAAACCTAATGAGACATCAAAACGCTTAATCAGTCAGTCAAAGAAATCATTATTAATCAGTTGATGAATAAAACAATACAAGCAGAAGCACAAAGATACAAACAATAAATCAAAAGGTATTTTAGAATAGATACTTTATTGAGGTTATTCTATAAATGTATATATATATAAAGTTGTGTGTCTTGTGTGTGTCGCAGTCGTTTTTCCACACCGTGCTGGAGAACAGCGCCCACTGTGAGACCATGGTGGACAACAACCTGAGGCTCACCAACTGGAACCGCAAACTGGGATGCAAATGCCAGTACAAGCACATCGTGGACTGGTGCGGCTGCTCGCCCAACGACTTCAAGCCCTCGGACCTGCCGCGCTTCCAGGTCAGTTCTGATCGTCCGTCAGTAATCCCGCGAGAAACTCGACTGACGACAGTGAGGCTGACAGATCTCTGTAGTCACCAAGCTCCCCCCCCGCCTTTAACTGCTGCTTACGGTGGAGCTACAAAGATAGCATTCACCGTGTTAGCGACCGTGGGCCTTCAGTCCCTCCTCGCTGCCCACCCTTCCCTCTCAGGGGCCCCCGGTGGACCAGAATAGCTCCGTATTCACAAATTAGCAGTGCTGCTCTTACTGTAAGGACAGACCTGGAGACAGCGTCTGTGGTGGAGCTGCTGATGGTTTCTATAAGAAGAGCTGATCCTGGAAACAGCTGTACACTCGGGGCGGTTGGTATTTTTAGAGCTTTGTAGCTGGTTGCTTGCTGAGGTTTGTAAGGTTGTCATTATCATAATGTCGGGGTTTGCCAGCTAGAAAGACGGCTCGGAGTCCTGAATGTAAGGGTCAGGAACACACGTACAGTATATATACCAGTGGTGCTCAACTTGAGGCCCGTGGGCCAAATCTGGGACGCAACAGTTTTCTAATTCACACTGAAAATGAACTGATTTTATTTGTTTATACCAATTACACTGTGAGGACTTCTAGAAACAGGCCAAATATTCTTAAATATAATAAAATCTTCTCGTATTGAGCCAAAAGATCTGACATAATGTAGCTCGGCTAGAATTCCTTAAACTAGCATACAAACATTTAAGCAGGTTGTGCTTATTACAACAAATTAAACCTCAGTATTTAATCATTTTATTGATTATTTTATATCCTCGTAAACTCAATTTTCTTTGTGTTATTGAGAGATTCTAATATTCACCTTTCAGGTCCTGCCTTTTTACATTCTATAATAATAATAGTGTAGATTCATTGAAGAAAATACCGACCGACAGTAACTCGATCAACAGAAAATTAATCTGCAACACTTTTGATGGTTGATTCATCGTTTGAAGTCATTTTTCAAAGCAAAAGTGCAAAAGATTCACCGGCTCCAGCTTTACTGGTTTTCTTCATCTTCTGTGACAGTAAAGCTGGATTTAGACTTTGAATGTGTGAACTTGGCTTTAGGGGCTTAAAATAGTCAGTTTTCATTATTTTCTTTACTGATTTTATTGATCAAGCAGTTAATTAGAGATAATAGTATTAAAAAAGGTTGTATGAAGACCTTCAGATACAGGAAACTCTCATTATAGAAGCTATAATTGAAAGATTAATCCAATGAAAATAAGTATAAGTTGTAACTCTGGTGTAAATTAAAAACACAAAGAGTGAAAACTGACTCCGAGTGTTAAGACCTGTTACATAAAGAGAGCAGCTGCTGACCTCCTTTAGGGAGAAATATACAGTGAAGGCCTTTTTATATAACGTCCCTCTGATCTTATGATGAAGGAGAACGAAACTGCGTGCTGAGCCTGTAACTAGTGGTTTCCACTGTTGTCTGTCGCTGTGTGAGGACGCCGATCGCTCTCTAACGGGCCCAGAATAAAACCGCCTGCCTGGGCAGTCCTCGTGGTTTCTGTTACGCCGGGGTTTCCTGGCTGGTTGGGGTGAGGTCACACCCTCCTTATGACATCATACGCCACGCCCTTCCTCCAGACTCTGAGTGTGTGTGTGTGTGTGTGTGTGTGTATCTGATCTTAGTTTTCCATAGTCTGTAGGATAAAAGGTTCTTTTTTTTTTACATATTTAAAAATGTCTAAGTGAGGATCAGTGATGGACTAGTTCCTCAAAAAATTTAATTTATTGCTCATTGTTTATCAAAAGTATTTCTACTTATTACTAATTAGTAATTAGTTACACTACTAGTTATGTTACTTTCTGTTATTGTGTCCTTTCTCCCCAAAATTCAGACTGACGATGATTTAAAATCCAGTTTTGTTTGTTAAAATCAAAGTAATGTGATTATTTCCAGCTGCATAATTTCCTCCACGATTATAAAAATCCAAGGATGTGATTGGATTGTTGGGTTTCAGATTTAATACGAGGTGACAACAAAAGTAATGTTTTAGGTGGGTAAATGTAATATTATTATTAGTACTACTTACTCGGGAAAGTAATCATGTGACTGGTAATGAGTTGTTGATGATCACTCTAAAACTAAAAGAATTCATTGATAATCTATTAATCATTTTAGTTATTTTCTAATTAATTTTTGGTTCCAGCTTGAAGATGAAATATTATATAACTGGAATATCTTTGGACTGTTGTGCTTTTGAGGCATTTATCACAATTTTTACACTTAATTAACCAATAAATTAATTGATTAATTGATAAAATAATGAGCAGATTAATTGATAATAAAAATAAGTTGTTAGTAACTTAGTTTACTTCCATTGCAGCAATAACATTATTGATAAAGGAATATATACATTTTACTTCTCCAAGTATAGAATCATTCTAGGTTGACATACATGAATGTGTGTGTGTGTGTGTGTGTGTGTGTGTGTGTGTGTGTGTGTGTGTGTGTGTGTGTGTGTGTGTGTGTGTGTGTGTGTGTGTGTGTGTGTGTGTGTGTGTGTGTGTGTGTACAGAAAGGTAACAGTATTTAACCCCCGACTGCCTCAGTGGAAAGGCCCAGCAGCAGCAGGCCGGCTCTGAATGTAATCCGTGTTAATGAGCATCATTTAGTTGCAGTCTCTACTTGAACGTCATGTCACTGACGCATCGGGCTCTGAGGCGGCTTTATGTAATGTTTTCTTTGGTACAGCTCAGATGAACACTAGTGGTCATGCAGGTATGTTGGCTGTAAACACGGGAGAGTGAATCAGTACGTCTGTGGCAGCACAGCAGAGTCTGGAACAGTTTGTTTCCCACTGAGGACTCATTAAAATACATTTTATATGTTTTACTTTATGCAGTTTTAGTCTCGTCTTTCTCACTCTGTCTCCTTCCTATGGAGCACTGTTAGGAAAAGTACTTTATAAATGAAGATTGCTTACTTATTTAAAGTGATTTAAGCTAATTTATGTCATTTTCTTGTTAAAAATATTCTTGTTTTCTTTATTTATCGTATTACGTCTGAATCAGTTAACATTAGAAGACAACCAGTGAAACATTGGTCAGTTATAAATACGCAGACAAAGAAGAGACTTTAAATTATGGAAATATTAATGACATTAAATATTTGTCGGTACTGTAGTTTAATGTTTAAGGGTTGTAATAATATACATCCTCCTATTGAGCAGCTCCATGTGTTCTATAGAATATATTATGGTCATCAGCCTCTTCCTAAGACTAAGTTGAGCAATCACATAGTTTATTTCTCTTTAGGACTTGAAACTTGAAACCTTACTTTCTATTAATCTTTTTAATGACTTTATAACATCCCCATTGTGAGTTGTACACTAACTATCCTTGTTCTATACGTTGTCCTCTCTGTCTGTCCTCAGCAAGCGTCCAGGCCCACCTTCTTTGCCAGGAAGTTTGAGGCCAGTGTCAGTCAGGAGATAATCAATCAGCTGGACTCTTACCTGTTCGGGACGTACCCGTCGGGCACCCCGAGCCTCCAGGCCTACTGGGAGAACATCTATGAGCAGGAGACTGACGGCCCCGCCAGCCTGTCGGACTCGGCGCTCAGCCACTACCACGCCTTCGCTCGTATGGGACTGTCCCGCGCCGCCAGCTCGCTGCAGGGTCATCCCAATGACAACAGCTGCAGGTATGGACACGGGTTCAACAGGTCTGGTAGGCCAGGTCCTACTAGATCTTATGGTCCCAGATTTACCAAGTCATAAAGGTTCTTGAGGAGTTCCAGAAGATCTTGAATGAAGCTTAACACTCTTAGAGTTCCTATGTTACTGAAATTATTCTTAATACGGGTCCACGTGTTTGTGAAGGAGCTCTAGTGGTTTGTAATGGTCTTTAGGAGTTTGTAGACAGGCTAACAATGGTTCCAAGGGGGTTCTTGGGGATTTGTGGGGGTGTTTTTAAGGAGTTTGTATATGGGGTCCACAGGGGCTAACAATCAATCTCACTGTATCCCAGTTAGACTTCAACGTTTGGGGCAATTGGACGAATATATCGGATATCTGCGATTGTTTTTCTGGACGATTTTTGACATTTTATTTTGCTAATTTAACGGTCTATGAGTATTTTCACATCTAACTGGGGTTATTCTGACTAGTTTGACTATAGGGAATACAGTAACGAGGTGAGGGGCGAATATATCGGCAATTGGAAAATGTTACCATACCGGACGATCCCAGACTCTTCCAGACCCATACACATAATGGTGGTTGAAGACATTGTGCTCTCATGCTGAATCTGTTTGGTCCGTTTCAAACAACACCACTGTGTTTGCCAGTTTCGTTTGGGTTGATAAGGTTGGTCCTAACAAACAGACCAAATCTGCCTGAAGAGCAGGCCCGGCGCCACGAGGGGGCTTAAGGGGGATTTGTTTTTTTTCTGTTCTTGCAGTTCAAGCTTCACGTCTCTAAAGAAAAATAGCAAAAACAACACAATGATTGTCCGATCTGTTACTATCGGGCCACGCTGTCTATAGTACTGAAGCAGAGGAGATCAATAGACAAACAGAACTGTTCATTCATTAATTCAAAACATATTGAGCCAGTGATACAGCTCTGATTAATATTATATTCTTTTATTTTGAAACAGCAGCCTCATGTTGTTATTTAGCCTTTCTGAAACTATTGCACTGTTAAATCAATGCACATTATGTTATGAAAAAACTGCCCTGATTTTCAACAACCCCCTCAGTCACTTCATCCTGGCGCCTGGCCTGCTGAAAAGTGGGTCCTTGGTCCGGTTCCAAGTGATTTCTGGTGCAGTTTGTTTAAAATGTGATGCCAAAGCAGACAGAACACAAGATCTTGGTGATATTTATGGTACTAGACACTTCTTTTCTTCCCCAGACATGAGGCCCAGTTGTAGTCGATTATTAATTATCATGTTTGTGAATTCGGATAAGTTGAATAAACATGTAAAGTTCGGTAAAGAGCAGCATACTCCCAAAACACTAAATGAGTTTAACTTTCAGTCAGTGTGTACAGGCAACGGACCGAATATAAAACCAAACAATGGACCTTTTTTCCCTTTGATACGACCAAATGAACCAAACTATAGGCGTATGGTCTAAATAAAATCTTGTTTCTGGCTTTATTAAAGCTCAATATCGGCCTCGTATTCAGGTATCAGTGAGCGTATTTAGGTGTTTTGGATATGAGTCAGTAAATTTGGGACTTTTGCTGAGAGAAAAACTGCACAATCACTGTCTGAGAGCAACGAGGAGGACTGGCAGATGAAATTTGTCCTTCCTCTAAAAAAATTGACCACCGCTGGTGTTTGTGAGTCCAAATTAAATATAACTTATAAATGTAAAGATAACGCGAGCTTGTCCCGGGGTACAATCGGGCTACAGTTCCCCTCACAGACTGGATTTTTCCAGCTGTGTGTGTGTGTGTGTGTGTGTGTGTGTGTGTGTGTGTGTGTGTGTGTGTGTGTGTGTGTGTGTGTGTGTGTGTGTGTGTGTGTGTGTGTGTGAGGTGGAGACCCACAGTAGGTACAAGGAGGTACTTGTTGGAGTTGGGGTGGGGATTGGTGGCTTGGATGGGTGGGGGCAGCATTATGGGAAGTGTGTGTGAGAGAGAGAGAGAAGGGGGGACGAGGGGGGAGTTAAAACAGGACTAGTCTGTTCCCTTCAACCTGTAACATCTCAGACCACGTCTGCACTAATGTGGACACGTTTTAAAAAACACCGTCTACATGTCAAACATCGTTCAGTCAGTACCGCTACGCTTCAAAAAAGGCCCAGTGTGGAGGATTTTAGTGGCATCTAGTGGTGAAGTTGCAGATTGCATCCATTTGAGTACACTCATGAAAAGCCTGATGTAGAGTGTTTGGTTTGTCTGTTCTAATGTTATTATGGTTCATTAAAGCTAAACTTAAAAATAAAACTAGGTGTGAATTAGAAAAAAGCTAAAATAAAAATACAGGAAATGATATTTGTCAACACAACAAGCACGAGGGGTCATTGGTCCTCTTTATTCAGAGTCAATGTGTTTGTATTATTATACCTAATTCTGACAAATACCCCCATATTATAATAATACAATCTAAACTAACACTGAAATTAAACATTATTAAACAATAAAAAATAAACTAAAACGAACAAACCCACTCTGGAAACTAAACTGAATTTAAAATAAAAAATAAAAAAACAAATGGAAATAAAAACTAGTTCTGTAGAAACGTGGTGGATTCTTATATTCAGGCGATTGGACACTAATGAAAACCTACCAAAGCTCCTATATGTTAAACACTGGAGCTTTAAATCAAAAACAAGAAAACAGTGAATGTATTTTAAGTACAGTACGTTTGTGTCTCTCAGGTACGTGGCCATGAGCCACCCGGTGTCGGTCCACATCTACTTCCTGTCAGACCAGTTCCAGGGCTACCTGGTGCGCCATATGGCCACCAACCGAGCCTCCACCCAGCTGGAGACCCTGGAGACCTGGGTGACTTCCAGAGACCACTTCACCATGGCCAGCCCCCCCCACCCCACCAACAGACTGCAGCACGTCCAGGTCAGACACACACACACACACACACACACACACTCATTAACCTGACCAACGTGGCACTGATGCTTATTTTTACCAGCAGCTGATATTGTCCACCCATATCTAGTAGAGGATCACTGAGAGGGATTATGTTTATGTTTATGAGTCTATATGTTAGCCTTTAAGAAGACATCTGCACACCTAATGTAGAAATAAAAGCTTTCCTCACTAATGTAACTGGAGCCGAACTGAGGATCCTTAATCTGGAAGCAGACATTATAGAGTCTGAACTCCTCTCCTCCTGGTCTTCAGGTCGGGACGGACTGGGATCCTAAGGAGCGTCTCTTCAGGAACTGGGGGGCTCTCGTGGGGCCCGAGGACGAACCGGTGGCCGTGCAGCGCTGGAGCCGAGGCCAGAGCAACCTGACGGCCACTGTGGTGTGGATCGACCCCACCAACGTCATCGCTGCCACTTACGACATCCTGGTGGACGCCTCCGCCGAGGTCACCCACTACCGGCCGCCGCTCACCCTGCCGCTGAGGCCCGGCACCTGGACGCTGAGGGTGCTGCACCACTGGAGTCCGCTGGGCCAGACCACCTTCATCGTGGCTCCGCTGGACTTCCACCGACAGCAGCCCTTACAGCAAGGTGAGCGACCTTAACACCTTGATCAGGACATTCTTATTAATTAAAACATTTCTCAATTTAGAGAACTTTTTGATTGTTGTGATGGATTTTGCTTTTGTAGTGACATTATTTAAACTGCTGCCTCCATATTATTACACATTATTTTGGACAAAGAGTCAGTAAAATCTTTACAAAGTTTGATGAGTATTAACCTTCAGAAACTCTCTGTTGAAATTATATTTCAAGCTTTAGACTGTAGTCTGTCTGTCAATAGCAGATCTTATACTTACATTACACACACACACACACACACACACACACACACACAGAGGCCCTCCTGTCACAGCTGTCAACACCATGCATCCATATATTTATAGTCGGTATCCAGTCCCTTAGTCTCGCACGCACAGGGTCACCTTTATCTGAATTAGCCTCCGCTCGGTCACTGTTTGATTCGTTTGACCTCCCCAGACCTGTGTGTGTGTGTGTGTGTGTGTGTGTGTGTGTGTGTGTGTGTGTGTGTGTGTGTGTGTGTGTGTGTGTGTGTGTGTGTGTGTGTGTGTGTGTGTGTGTGTGTGTGTGTGTGTGTGTGTGTGTGTGTGTGTGTGTGTGTGTGTGTGTGTGTGTGTGTGTGTACAGGGGATAAAGCCTGGTGCATGAATAGACAGGGAGCTTTTATTGGCTGCCTGTAACGTGATCACAGTGTGTTTGTGTCCATGCTTCTGTTGTTGTCGCCTGTACGTTAAAATACAACATCGCCTCTAAAAAAACCCACTTAAATCTGATCTTTGAACAACCCAGATGGTTGTTGTTACATTAGGATTGACTCTTTAGCCTCTCCAGTGGCCTCCTGTGGGTCCGACAACAACTTATATAAGTTATTGAACATTTTCATTTATCATTGTTGTGATTCTTACGTACTCTAATTGTTCAAATGTTTAGCCAGGACGATAAATATGCTCACACTGTTAACTTTCCAAACTGTCTCTGGTTGTAAATAGAAATCTCGAGCTTCTGTTGATGTCCAACTGGAAAATGTGACTTGTACGTAGTTTAACAAGGAAATCTTCAACTTTTATTTTACAGCCAGTTCTAAGCAGGGTAGTGCCAAACTGGCCCTGGGGGCAGGTCATTTGAGAAGGGGCATCAGGCCACACAGTGGGGCATCCACAGCAGTGTAGAGTATAATCCCTGCCCAGCGTTACGTCCTCAATAGCAGAGTCCTCCTAGCAAGGCTAGCTGTGGATAGGTAAATGAGGTAAATAGAGCATTTTACTGAATGGACAGATTTGTTTTGGGGCTTTTATTGCCGTTTTTAATGGATGGTGACATGAAAATGACACCCAGCAAACGGCCACAGGTCGGAGTCGAACCTGTGTGACTCAGCTCTGGTACATGGGGGCAGATTTGTTTGCTTTAAACAACACTGCTGGCTAACAGTATGCTTAATGTTAAATAAGTTTTGGGGTTAGAGACAGATATTTTTGTCTCTCTGGATAGTAAAGGTTGCTGAGCCCTGTTATATATAAATATAAATATATATCTACATAAACAACCAGTAGCCCAGTTTCTGCCCTCAGCACGGAGCTACTCTACAGCTCGGTCACACACTTACAGCACAAACTTTTATCCAGCAGCCTTTTGCATCTTCAAATTTATTTTGGTGATCTCTGTCTGCCTCATGAATGTTCCCATCCAGTATTTCATCAGACTGAACTACAAACAAGGCCGCTGTACAGTGGGCACAGTCTGGAAATACTGGATTACAGTGTGGTTTCGCCCTCGGCAAAGACACTTGAGATCATGAAAATACCTCACAAACAACTGCCAGGTAACAGGCAGAGAAAATAACATCTGTATTTCCTCCTGAGGTCTGTATCCGAGCAACGGATGGATTATTAAAAACACTGTTCAGAACCTTTACAGCCATTATCTTCTAACATAACATAACGTTGGTATAGTGTGGAGGAGGTCCACCTTCTCAGGCTTTAAAATGTGATCTTAACCCCACATCTCCTCTCTCTCCCTCTCTCCCTCTCTCCCTCTCTCCCTCCCTCCTCCTCCCTCTGGTCCGCGGATCCAGAGGATGCCCTGCGGTTGCACGGCGGCCCAGCCAGAAACTCCTACATGGAGCAGAGTTTCCACGGCCTGAACCCGGTGCTGCGGCTGCCGGTGAGCCTGGGTGCCGTGGAGGAGGCCGAAGCCAACGCCGGCCTGACGGGGGCGCCGCTGCGTCGCTGGCTGGACCGGCTGCTGGAGGGCCACTGGTCAGCCGCCGACGTCTGCTCGATGGGACCCAGCGCCTGTCCCGTCATGCAGCGCTGCCGTCTCACCGGCTGGAGCGCCGCCAGCCCCGACCCCAAGTCTGAACTGAGCCCGCCCAGAGAGGACGGACGCATCAGGTAGCAGACGGACGGACTGAGGGAGGACGAGAGGAGTAAATGAAGGAAGACACGGTGGGCTGATGTCCCGTTGGCGTCTGATATTTATTTGAATTAGTGTGAGTGAAAGAGAACGAGTGGATCAAACAATGGAGGCGGCGACAGGAAGAAGAGAAACAGACTCAAACGCTGAGGAAGAATATTCTCCTTCAGTCCTCATTCAGTCTGCTCCTCTCACTGTTAACTGGGACTACAGAGTGTGTGTGTGTGTGTGTGTGTGTGTGTGTGTGTGTGTGTGTGTGTGTGTGTGTGTGTGTGTGTGTGTGTGTGTGTGTGTGTGTGTGTGTGTGAAGAACTCTATACCTCCTGTTGTGAGTCTTTCCTTAGGTTAATGCAAATGTGCTTTACATGTTCAGAGGCTGAGAACGGACGTGGTTGCTCATTCTTTGGCCCGTTGTTGCTTCTTTATAATATATTTTTAATCCACGATTACAATTTAATCCCACTGATCCTGAAATCTTTGAATGCAACTTCCTAGTCAAAGTCCAGTCAGGATTTAGGAGGAATATTAGGTTGCCTGGGAAAATGAGATTGAGGTCTTTCTAACATTTAAACGACATAAAACGTGAATACAGAAGCACAATAAAATGTTTTAAATCCAGATTTTAATCTTGGAACAACAGAAACACTATCGAGTTAACAAATCCTTCATCTGTGATCCAGAGATAATGAGCCTAAGGAAAGTCATCGGCAACCACAGACGTTCTCATACAGAGCCGGGTGGGTGTGGGGGGGGAGCTGATCAATTATTCCCTCAAATTACTACAAAATATATTTATTAATTTCTTTAGTTTGTTTTATTTGTATCCTCAAATTTAAGTTTTTAATCTACCAGGTGGAATAAGTGCTCAGATCCTTGACTTCAGCAGTAACAGAACAATAAATGTTCTGTTAAAGTACAGAAGAGTAAAGAACTGATCTGATATTATATATATTATAATATCAGGTTGTTATTGATGGAAATATATAGTTGGTTGTGCTCATTTTAGCTACTTTATAGGGTTTTTAAATCTATAAAAATGCATATTTATAAAGTGCTGCTGTATTTTTATGTACCTGCAAAGTAACTGTAGTTGTCAGACGTCGTGGAGTAAAAAGTGCAATATTTGTACCTTTAGAGTTGTAGAAAGTTCAGAGTTAATTGAGTTACAGTGGGTTTGTAGTGCAGTTTGAATCTCTGCAATAAGACCACAGACAAAAAAAAAATGTAATCCACTCCCAACGCCTAGCCCCGCTCTGTGCTCTGATGTGTTTCTTTGTTTTCTGTCTGTGCCATGTCTGAGTCCTTCAGACCGCCTGAGACTTGAAGAGCGAGACGTCCGCTATGCTGGAACTCAGAAGAGATTCACCTCCTCTGGTTTTTTATTTTACTTTTACTTTACACACTTTTTTTAAAATCTGCTCTTTGCTGTAGAAACTGATGTGACTGTGTCAAAGCGTAACAAAGTGCTACGTGAGTAATTTATTCAGTTTATATAAACTTTTTTTTTGTATCTTTTTCTTTTAGTCAGTGACTAATATTTGATATGCTGATATTTGGTGCAGCAGGTGACGTTTGTTTTTTGGACAAAAATGTCTGCCTTTGTTTCTAAAGGCCTTCAAGTGTTTGTCAGGACTGATGGGAAATGTTTGTCAGTCAGTTTCGGGTGGATCTCCTCCTCGCTTTGACTTTCATCTGCTCTCATTTCAAACTAACAGCCACGAGTTGAATCCGACCACAGTGCTTATTAACATACACCATTTAAACTGAGACGGATGTTTAAGTCTTTTATTGGTTCATTTAGATTTCATCAACGGTCTTAACAATATAAGATATTCCTTTATTGAAATGTGTCACAGCAGCAGCAGGGAAAGAATGAAAATACAATAAAATATATAAAAATATTAAAAAATAAATACACTTTTACAATAAAAAAGTGGAATATGGTCCAGATGGATAACTGGATGTATTTTTTATTCTATATGTATATTAAATACAAACCAAAAAAAAGGAAAATCTTCATATTTAGGAAGCTTTAAACAGCATAAGGATTATAAATAGGGTATAATTTACATTAAATGTAAAACATGATGCATTTTCTGTGATACCAAACAGTTTCAGGGCTACATGTTTTTGTTTTGTTAAAAATTAGACATTAATGCAACAATAAATCAGTATTTCTGGTTTCTGATGGGAATAACTTGAACAAGTTGATTGGCAAAATCTGTGAACAGCTTTTCTTAGTTTGTGTATTTAAATATAAGAATCATAATCCATATTTATTATGAATTTATTATATTAAAGTATCATTATTATGCTAATTAGGGTTGAGTGAGTGTGAGTATCAAACATTACGTACACGTGGTGAAGATTTAACTTCCTGTGAGTTGAGTTTGGATGCATCAGGTGAGGAGGAGGAGGTGGAGGAGGAGAGGAGGAGAGGGGAGGAGGAGGAGGAGGAGGAGGAGGAGGAGGAGACCACCTGAGACATTTCGATGCACCTTTAGATTTCCGTGCTGCTCAGTGATGGACTTTGTGCTGAGACAGCTGGCTCAGAAAATATCCAAACCAAGTCTGGGTTGCACCAGTGAGGATAAAGGAGATCCTGTAACAGTCAACATTAAAAACAAAAAGGTTTTTCAAATGTTTGTTCAGCCTGAAGAATTCATAACTCCCAATGAAACTCCACAAGGTTCCTTCATGTCTGAAATCTCTACATTTAGGTTGGAACTGGGTTTAATTTAAGGTTTTGAATTTGAGCTAAAAAGACTAATCAAAGTAATAGTTCAACATTTTGAGAAACAGGTTTAATTCCAGCTAGTTAGCTTAGCATAAAGACTGGAAACGGGGGGAAACAGCTAGCCTGGAGGATCAAAACGGTAACAAAATGTGTCTAACAGCGCCTCTAAAGATCACTAATTCACACCTGAGAGCAAAGAAGTCGCTGCACTCGGCCTGAACGCTGTCCAACTGACTCCTTTAAAAGCACAAATGATCAGTTTCACCCTTCAGTGGGTGTAACCTGTTAATCAGTGAGTGTTACAGGTGCTGGGAGGTGGAGTTTATCTCCCCTGGATGGAGCCAGGCTAGCTGTTTCCCCCTGCTTCTCAAACTGTTGAATTATTCCATTATAAGTACCTGCAGGCTCTGACTTTGTTTCCTGAATATCAACTAACCGATGTGAATCCTTGGTGGTGCAACCATCTTCAGTGAGTTATAGGCCTGTTGTTCTTTGCTATAAAATATTTAATGTTTTTATGAGTAAGTTATTCCAGTGTGTGTAGTTTCCATTTAACAATATTATTGGGACCAAAACTGGAGACCGGTGAGAGGACGAAGCTCAGAATGAATTTATCTGTGACAGTCAGCACTTAAAGTAACGACACCAACAATACGTCATATTTATTCTAGAAAAGATTATATATACACACATTTATATATATAGAATTTATTATTTAAAGTGATGGAGGCATGGTTGGATCAGCACAGTCGTTTTCTGTGCAGGTGAACAAACAACAACGGTGCACAGGATGAAAATATCATCAGACCTTACTGCCACTACGTTGAGGATTAAACAGAACACAGTCGGGGTATTTTTAACTGTTTGAGTTCAGCATTATAGATATACGAGTGTCACCAAACTATACTGGGAAATAAATCTTCTGAGAGCAATAGTGCTTGAAGAACTGCAGCCGTTATGTGTGTGTGGGTATCAGACAATGTGTAATTCATTCATAAAGTCAAAACATACAAAATCAGATCAGTTTCTTAAAGGTTCTCACACAAAAACCTTATTCAGAGACTAGTTTGCTATAGGAAACACCTTGAAATAGATTATTTCCAGGATATTTGGTCATTTTAAATCAACGTTCTTCTGAAATAGTATTTTCACTGAGATCTTAGTTTTAAAGGAAACCTGGTAAACTGTAGTTTAATCACCGGAGATGTAAAGGTGGAACCCGTAAACGCTGATAACCGACCTGTAACAGACCTGAGACACTTCATAATAAACCTGCATCTTTAGAAAGAGAAACAATGTGTAAACTAGGCTTATCGCTAAATTATATGACCGTTTGTGAGCAACTGCTGTCCTGTATCGTCAAGAAAACTCCTGGAAAATGTCCTGGAAAGTTCTTGGAAAATCATTTCTTAAAAACACACAGTTGTTAGGGGGTCTGCGTATTTACAAAATACTGTGACGTATTTATTGCAGAATTAAAATCGATATTTATTCAGATATTTTGATACCAAAAGGCTGTAAAATATGGCGAGCTCTTATTTTGAAATGTGTTGTGAGGGATTCATTCTAATGCTGAAATCAAACAGTTAAAACCTCAACCAGGTACAAGACATTTAATCCAACTGTTATTTGGTTTAAAGCTTTACACCAAAACTGACAGATCAGTCTCATCATAAAGTTTAAACATTATTTACTGTAACGTCATTTCGACATCACGTTAAACTGAAGAAAGTCCTGATCCTTCAAAAACAACTAAAATAGAAAAAAGAAGACATTTTATTCTCTGTTGCTGCTCGGTTGAAGAGTTAAAGTCATTTTATGTGTGAAATGTATTTTTCATATGACGAGTGCGTCGATGTAAATCAGTATTTTGTAAAATCCTCACAGATGATGTACAGTTTGTAAGTTACCGACGGAGAAAGGTCCGGCTGTTTGGACGCTGTGCTGAGAACAGACGTCATGTGACTGTTTCTTTTAGGAGGTTTTGATGGTGTGAAACCTTCAGATTCTGGAGGGAGAGAGTTTGTTCTTTTCATACTTTTAATTTTTGCCCTCACACTTTAATGCTGTGTGTTTCTTTTGTTTCGAGAACCAACCTGTTGTTTGTCTTTCAACCATTTCTGTCTTACTGACTGTTGGTTACTTTCTTGCTTTTCTTTATTCTCTCTCTCTCTCTCTCTCTCTCTCTCTCTCTCTCTCTCTCGGGAGTAGTGCTGTGCCTTAGCTGTACTCCTGTTGTAGGAAATCCTCTGAAAGCATCAAAAAACGGTCTCAAATGTTCAAAAACCAAAAAAAAAGATAATAAAAAGAGAATTGTTGTGAATGCCTTATAAATGACCTTAGTGGTTTTGAAGTACAACTTTTGAAAATAAAAACAGAATCTCCCTTTATGTTGTGCCGGTGTACTTTCTCTCACACTCCTGTATTAATGTAACAGCACAGACTCACAGTAATGGAGTTAATATACGACTCTGTGGCCACAATGTTTGCAGAGAATAAAGGAGAATAACGCCCCCCCGCTGTTAAACATGGCGCTGGATCCATCATGCTTTGGGGTTGTGTTGCAGCCAGGAAACATTGCACAGGTGGAGGAAATCCACCACAGACAACCTGAAGAGACCCAGCAGAAGGTTTTGGGAGCTCGCGGTGGATTGAAAATGTAAGAAGGAGCTCTGAATGCAAGAATATTACAGAACTATACGATGATGTTTTTATTTTGTATGTTCAATTTATGACATTAACTCTGCCTGAATGTTTGCTAAATCTATATATTTTATGTTCTACATCCTAGAGCACTGGTTCCCAACCTTTTTCCTTAAAGGACCTTTTTTATCTTTGTGTAAACTGACTTATTTTATGGATATTTCATATTATATTCAACAATAACAATAACAGTAGAGAACGGCTCATACACTAAACAATGAACCCAAACAGTGAACTCAGAAACGTTTGTGTAAAATCTGAGATTTGGATGAATGTTGAGCAGATTATTTCCTGTGAATGTTGATCAGAAATGAGTTTTCTTGATATTTTTAGAAACTTTTAATTCAATCTTCTGTCTGTATTATGTATTTGTATAATTTCTAACAATCATACAGACTTAACAGTCTTTTTTTTTACAGATTCAGTGTTTTCTTATCGTTCTAACGTTTGGTTGTTTGAACCTTTCTGATTCAGAATGAGGCTGTTCATCAGAGAGTGAATGCTCTGTGAACATTTACAGTTAATTTAGATCTTTAAGAACCATCAAAACTATAAAACATAATAAAATGCTGAGATATTGTCCAACTGTGTATAAGTTTTAAGTTTTCTTACACATCTTAAAATCCCCAGGTTGGGAAAAAATCACAAAAATTTGATATTTGTGCCAAAACTTTTGCATCCAACCATCTCCTGTTAAAGTAGTTAAAGCAGCTACAAGGACCTTTCATATTGTGTTGATTCTGGCGCCCCCTGTGGACAGAAGCAGGAGTGTTTATACCGCCTTGTTTCATTGATTTCAAGGGGAATCAGAAGATATCGAAGCTCTCCAGCCTTTTTATTCAGTTAAATGTCTCAACTCGTTCTCGGGGTCGTACTTATTGAAGTGCTCGGTATCTGCGGCGGAGAGCACCCACAGCCAGCGGTGATGGAATCATCAATACAGTCGATCGATGACACGCAGCTGAAAGCACAGAGCCAATTATTATTGGTGTGGCAGCAGAGATAGCTGCTGTCAGCGAGCATGTGACACCGACCATCACTTTGTATCTGTCTCTATGTCCGTTACAAACATTTGGTTTACAGATCCTGGGATCTCCGTCGGTGTTGTTAGGACTTCAGTGTCCTGATTACGTCCAGTTCATGTTCACATGAGGAGGTTTCACAACTCCTGTTTACACAACATAAACAGAAAGTGTTCCAGAGAGAGAGATTAAGGGACGTCCATGTGTCTGTGATCTGTGTTTATGTCCGTCTGACAGCGACGGCTCTGATGGGAAAACACTCCCATGGACTCCTTCCAGTCCTCCTCAGCATGAAGACGACGACTTCACTGTAACGTGATAAGTTGTTGTAACTGTGGAAGCACGTTGGTTTGAGTTGTAGGAGGTTGCAGAGAGAGAGAGAGAGAGAGAGAGAGAGAGAGAGAGAGAGACACAGAGAGAGAGAGAGAGAGAGAGAGAGAGAGAGAGAGAGAGACAGAGAGAGAGAGAGACACAGAGAGAGAGAGAGAGAGACAGAGAGAGAGACAGAGAGAGACAGAGAGAGAGAGAGAGAGGTGATGGGGGATAAAACTGAGGGAATTAGAGGTGGAGGAACTACCATTAAAAGGATTGAGAGAGAGCAGGTTGTCGGGGATTGTTGGTCTTTTTAAAGGGATAAGGGGTTTCTATGATAGATAAACAGGAACAGACCATTAGGGTAAAGTTATTTTAGTCTGTTTTCTGATGCTCACTCCGGAGCAGAAGGTGGCGGTGTTGCACCAATAAGCTGAAAGATAACTGCTGTAAAACAATTAAGTTAGTGTCACTTAAAATAACTAGTAAAAGCTTCTTAATCAACTTACAAAATCTTGTTTATGTTACTTAAAAATTTCGATTTAAACTATTCTTTTGGAGTTACAAAAACTTCTCACAGAAACATTCCTGATTAATAACTTTTTAAAAAGGTATTTTGTTTTCACAGTACAAATAAAAAATATAAAATTAAGTCAGTGTCACTTAAAATGACTAAAACTATTTGAAATGTTGGTCAAATGTTGTACTTATAATCCATTTAAACACTTCTATTGAATGAAATAAACTGGTTTTATTGTGTTCTTTAACATTAAAGCAGCTGTTGTGAGTCCATTTATTTATTTAATGTTTATTATTTTAGTTTGAGGATTTTATTTCTTCCCTTTTTACTTTCTTGGTGAATTTATTAGTCTCTCCATTCGTTAATGATTACGGTCGTATGAATGCTGAAACAAGTATTTCAACTTTAAACATTTAGTATATAAAAATATTTCTTCTTGAAGAATGACAGCAGTAATATCTATAACACTGTAGACTGAATTCTGACTATATTATATTACAGAAATTATATATAGAAAGTTGCACATTTGATGAATCGCTGCCAAAGATGAATATAAATATTAATTTACTCACAGAAACAAAAGTACCTACCCTTTACAATAAAAACTACTAATACTAATAATAAACTATTAATACAGCAACTTTCATACATAAAATGCTGCTCAAAGTGTTTTAGAGATTAAACAAAAATCATAAGTCACATAAAATTATATATTACAGGTAATAAAAATCAGTCAGTAATGATAAAATATAAATATATAAAACTGGTATAAAAGCTATAAATACAATCATATATAGTTTCTGTATGTTTTCTATCATCATGTACTATTATTATGAATAACTAATAAATAAGACTGTAAGAGCACTGATCACATTGAGACCTGGAACAAACTATAAAGGCTGAGACAACATATGACTGTGTGTATCTTTACTTTTCTACTTTTAATGACTCCTTCCTTCTATCTCACGTATTAGTACATTTCCACCCTGATATATATTTATGTTTGTGCCCAGTTATCCAAAGAATGGGAGCAGGAAGAGCTTAAATATGAGACATCAAACGCACCACGTAGAGAGAGAGAGTTCCTCCCTCGTTACAATCTGATTATCTCTGAGCTTCTCTGTCATATTCAACATAATATTATATATATATATTATATATCACTGTACCACACTGAGGTCAACTGGAACTACTTTCTTTAAACCCATCAGAGTCAGACCACTGCTGCCCCCTTGTGTTCATTCTTACAGTTACAGACCATCAACTGACTGCACACACACACACACACACACACACACACACACACACACACACACACACACACACACATATTAAACCTGGACTTTCATTAGCTGGTAGTTATAGTTTCTCTTTGTTTGAGACCTAAAACGATTCATAGACTTGTGGAATTCCTCTAAATATCAAATAAACAACAATTCCCAAGAAACACTTTTATATTTGTTGATGAAATGATTCTTTATAGAATAATTGATTTCCTCACTACAGCTGCTCCACAAGTTCACCTCTGACATCAGTCCTTAAAGCTGCAGATTCCTCTCAAATCATTTGGACTTTCTCTCATTTCAAACAACTTTTGGACTCTTTCAGCTCGTCATTAGTTTCTGACTTTATACCTGATCTGTGCTGGTTGAAAATCCACCAACTCTCTGAATCTTACAGCCTTTCATTGAACAAACAGCTGAGTTGGTTCTTGATCAGTAGTTTGGTTTACACTTCTTATGTCTCTCTGTTCAAATGTAAAAATCTGATTAGTGTTTGTTTGATATGAGTTTCCCCAAACGAGCACACAGTCAGTGATGTATGGAAGTAGAAGTGAACAATACAAAGTGGAGAATGAAGCTGGATTTAACTAATCCTTCATTTTATACAGTGTTGGATCCATTTGGACAGTTTTGCTTTGACATCATTTAAATGTGGTTTCCAGCCTCATTTATTATCTAGAATCATCCCAAAACTTTGATTTCTTTTGATTTCAACCTGACTTATCAAAGTTTGTACATTTGTTCCACGATGACCAAAGATGATGACTTTAGTTCCAATCAAAGCACTGTGTAATACGTGTGTTGCTCATTAGGAACAAGAATTGTACATTATGTGGATAAGAGGAGCTTCACTGAGTGAGCCTCTGAGAGAAACTCCGGTTAGCCTGGTTGCTACATGCTAAGAGGCCTCGTCCGTTATTAGCTGTTGATGTAGCTTGTTGTGTGAAGATGCCTTTCATTGAGATACTTTATTAAACCAATCGGAGCTACAGGAATGTTTCCTAATGTTTGAACTCACCTTGGTACTGTTTGTATCATTGTGAACAAACTGACTTTAAAAAGATCGCTAGCTCAGGTATTAATAATATAATTATTATTATTATAATATTAGTAATTATAAGTGTAATATGGTTGTGATCATTGTTTTCTGATAACTGAGATGTATATAAGGTGTTATATTGCAATGTAATTGTATAAATATTAAAGTTGGTTAAAAAGGAGTAATTTAATATTGTTCATTTATGGATAAAAAGAGTTAAAAAGAGAAATAGTGATTAAAAGAGCTGTTTAAAAATATAAATAAGTGCATTTATGTTAAAATATAAGTTCATGATAAATACTCGTCATGGTAAAAATACTTCTACAGTACTGTAAATGTATACAGACTCATTTACAATGACTTGAATGCTGTATATCCTGCATCTGGGTATAGATATAGAAGATATTTAGGGTGAAAAGTGAAAGTAGAATGATGTGATTGAGAGTAATGGTTATGTTTTCTGCACTCTATGTGTAGATTGGTTTTTGGATTTGCCGGATTAGGACTTGAT